CCCAGACATGCCTCTTTTTGGGTCCTCCGATTTCTATCCAGACAGTTTTTTGAAATAGGAAGAAATGTCTGGGATTTTGCTCTGCTCAGCATCAAAGTTTTTCCCAGTACTTCCTGGACAGCTAGGAGATGCTGCAGGGATGCGGGGAGCAGAGGGATGTGGATTGGGAGTGAGGGGCACCAGCAGAGCTGGGAGGCAGGGGCTGCAGGTCAGGAGTATGGGGCATTGGCAGGGCTGGGCAGGCTGTGGCCTAGGATTGAGGGGCATGGGGGGCACAGACTGTGGGATTGGAACATGGAGCACAGGCAGTGCCAGGGGTTTGCAGATTGGGAGTGAGAGGTATCAGCAGGGATTGTTGGGGGGCGGGGGGAAGCGGGGAATGGGCTGTGAGTTGGGAGTGAGGGATACCAGCATGGTCTGGGGGGCAGGGTACTGTGGGTCAGGAGTGAGGGGCATCAGCAGAGCTGGGAGGACTGTGATTTGGGAGTGAGGGGCAGGGGTAGGGCACAAGCATATCACTGACCCCCCACAATCATATTACCCACCCACCCCCATGCCCTGACAGGTGTCCTCTTTTTTGAAAATGGAAATATGGTAACCCTACTCCAGCTAGGATGTCAGCCTCTAGTGCTGGTCCACATAGCTGGATTGCAACTGACACTTAGACAACAAGGTCAGTGTTGGAGAACCTCCCCCAAAATGGCTGGCCAGACCCTAAGTATGGAGTTTCACAGTTCAGGAAGGTTGGACTGAAAGAGAACATGTAGGTCATGGAGTCCAGTCCCTTGGAACCACGGGCTACCAAGGCATACAACCCCTTTCACAAACTGACCAAGCTCCATCTTAAAATGAGTAAAATCTTGAAGCTATTCTACATTGCACTTGACACAGTTTGCCAACTGCTATGGGGAAATGGAAATAACAGTACACAGGAGGGTGAGGGAAAGGGGCAGAAAGATTCCTGAGCTCAAAGCAGCACTGTAGTAAGACTCAAGAGAGCCGAACTGTCAGGAGTTACCCCCTGTCCATGCTTCCATTTCAGTATAACAGTTAACTTCTTCTTCTCCCAAATGTAGTTTCAACCAGATTCTCACTCCTTCTTTATGTCTGCCCCCTCACCTGACTTTCCAACCTCCCCTCATGACTTTGTGGCCCAATACCATGGATACAGAGCTGTGATGTCACATTCTCACATGCTTTCATAGCATCTGATGAAATGAGCTTCAGCCCATGAAAGCTTATGAGCGCACATGTGTTTACTCTCTCTATATATATTGTAGATAGATAGATAGATAGACAGACAGACATACACACACACACATACTCTCTCTCTCTCTTTGGTTAGTCTATAAGGTGCAAGTCTACCCTGCCTTCTACATCCTCAAGGGCCATGAGGACTTTCTTAGTGATCCAGAACAGAGGAATTGAGAGCATCATAATAGACATAGTAAGCAATAAGGGTCAAGAGAAAATGCAAACTGGGATGTGGAAGGAGCAGAACTCAGAGAGAAATAGGCAATAGCTTTTTGAAGGGCCAAAAAACATGGCTCCCATGAAAGGCCAGCTATAGACCCAAAGTGATGTAATTTCTACCTCTCCCGTTTAGGGGCCACTTCAGGCCAGGTCAGCCTCCACTGAACCCCACAAGGGCGCTCTCAATGGTGCCTCTTCCACAATGGCCTGTAACAGCAGCATGGAATTGTCAGGGCATAAAGACACCCCTCCCACTGTCCATAAAACAATGTCCTGCCTACCCTGAAACTTCTGGAGCATGGCAGCAGGTCTATAGCTCCTGCACTGAGGGGTGTCCTTTGCAGGGGTACACAGTGAAAGGATGAAGAGGAGATAAAATGGTGCATGAACAGAGACACAGAACAAAGCTGCTCCTCCATACCTCAGGGACTTAGGCACAACAGTAATTAATAATTATAATAAACCCCCAAAAGTGATACAGACACAATGACAGAGCAAGGCAATGAGCAACCCCGAGAGAGACATCCTGTTCCTGATACCAGCACTGGTCTGATGAACCTGTGCCCCATGTATCTGAACCTGCTCCAGAGACTTATTACTGCAGTACACCTAGAAAAGAGCAAAAAGGGATTAAATTAAATCCTAAATTAAATCAAGTGTTACTGTGATCACATGGAAGCAGAAGACACACTGAATAATAGATACGTTGGTCTCACACTAACACAGTAAAAAGGTTTGAGTTGCCTACTGAAAACTCTACAGGCCTCTAAAATTTACTAGCTACTCTTTTCACATTACTAGAGCTATATGGGTGTTGAGGCTGGGGTCTAGTGGTTGTTGCACAGACAGTATACTGAATGGTTGAAGCATGATGGCCATCAGAGCATTTTGTTGTGACTTCAGAAACATCAAATCAAGGACTCCTCCCCAAAGCTGCCCCCAGTCAAATAACCTGGAAAGAGGTCATTGAGGCTGGGGAGTCAGGGACAGCCAAATGGGGTGTTACCATATATCTCCTTGCATGCCACTGGCTATAAAAAACATGTCCTTATCCACAGCAGCCTGATGGGCAGGCTTTGATTGCATACAGCGGGGCATGACCCCTACAGAAACCTACACCACAGTCCATCCTACGCAGACAGCATTCCTGCATTTTGTAGACACTAGACAGAACTCTAAAAGACAAATCTATCAGCTACTGAGAAGAGAAAAATCAAAGCACGTGCAGCTAGATTGCTCTAAATCCCATCATGCTAGCAGAACACCTACAGTACAATATGTAACACAGACCCGGGATTCTCCCAAGTACTCAATCAGTGATTTCAGTGTGGAAGTAGACACCAGGACACATTCCACTGGAAACCCAGGCATGGGCAATTTTGTAATGGCCAAGACAGGGGAGCCTGAAACAGACAGGCACTTTTTGTCCTGCTACATGAAATCCAAAGAGAAAAGGACTTCCTCAAGCAATCAGCAATAACCAACCTCTTTGCTGCAAAGCAAAGAAGAAAAAATAGCATAACTTTGAGTGAAAAAAAGAGAGATGGCAGAAATGCCTTACCACCACATGGCTGCCACCACAGCATCCAAAAGGGGCTGGAATATAAAGTAAATGCACACTATAAAACCCTGTAACTGCTCAGAAACCACATCCAAGATGAAGATACTAAATGTATATTCACTTGAGTGATGCTTGTGTTCTTTGCCAGGTCAATAAAGTTACTGAGATGAAAGGTGGTCTAGGAGTGAATGGAGCAGAGAAAGGTGAGGAGGGGAGATGGAAAGAGTAAGGGACACTAAATTCAAGATGGTGAACACAGGTAATGGATTTAGCGCAGGGAGAGGGAGGAGGAGCAGAGGTGACAGAAAACAGCAGAAGGAGATGCAGAGGGGAATGGAGGGGAAAGGAAGTGTGGTAGGAGGAGAGCAGAGTCCAGAGCTGGGCAAAGGAAACAGGATTCCCTAGAATGTTAAAAATAACGCAGTTGTCTGAGAAACCAGTTCTTTCACCAGGAAATATCATTCTGTTTACAACACTCTTTCAAAATAAACCACCCCAGCTAAGCTGGTTTCCTCCTCCCCAAACAGCCTCCCAAAGAATCAGCCTGAAAGCCTCTTTCTCTCATACGGTATCTTCTCAGTTTTTGTGCATTTTTATTGCTTAGATTTGGTACAAATCTAGCTCATGGGGCAAGGCAGGGGAGATTGAGCCTGCCACCCCCAGGAGGAAAGGGAGACAGTCCTGCCACTGCCACCCCATTGCCCCAGACACACACAGTCCTGGTGGCCCAGTTCATACCAGCTTTTCCTTCTGTGCCCATTTAAGGGAATGGAAAGTCCAGGCAGCCTGTGAAGCAGCACACGGAGGCTCCTTTTCCCACCATACAAAGAGCAGAGGCAAAACCCTTTCCAGGACAGACAGTGAGCTCTGCGCACAAACAAGGCTTTTACATCAGCTTCTTTTCAAACCTGACAGCTGGAAGGAGCAGCTCGGGGGAGGTTTCTCTCCAAGTCTAATTCCAGTAGCAGGGTAGGAATCTCTGGGACGAGAAAAGGTTTTACATTTATATTCAAACCCTGCAGCCCTCCAGGGCAGAGAGTCCAAGGGAAATAATTTTAAAAAGCATGGCTTTTTCCTATAATGCATCCAAGGCCCATTGCGATGGGCCAGATGCTTCAGAGCAGGATTCACGTTTAGGTACGTAGCAGGCAGCCTCCACTTGTCATATCAAAGTCAATTCAGAATCATGCTTCCACCACAGGCTGGCTACTTGGAGGAAGCCAACACAGCTCGATATCCCATCTCAAATGGGGAACATCCTTCCAAAGAACTGGGTTACTGGGATTATCCATTGCTGCAGCATTGTGTGTTCCCCTCCCAATCCCCAAGCCCTGTGGGTAGGCAGGATGTCTAAAAGGGTACAGTGATTTCCTTGGACTCTGGTACACAGACAGTGGCCCTCTCTGCTGCCCCGGTCCCAGAAAAGAGATGGTGACCCCTTTGATCAGTGGTATGTCACTTGAAAGGAGAGAGAGAGACTCCCTGGACTGGTGGTCCTAGGTGGAAATTGGTGGTGCCCATGGTGGACCCAGAGAAGGTCCCAGCCCCTTGCAGCTTCACATGAGTGGATCCCACCAGATATTCTGAGCCACAACCCTGTTTTCAGGGGTACTCAGCTCAGGTCTCCTCTGGAGAACACTCCAAGGCAGAGAAACTGCCCTCAGCATCCTCCAGCAGAGAGGTGTCGTTCTTCAGGGCCCCCCGCACAGCTTCTGAGCCATCCTCCTCCTGCTCCTCCTGCTCCTCCTGCTCCCGGAGGCTCTGGAGACGCTCCTCCCTGGCCTCCATCAGCTCTTGGGCCCCATCGCCCACCAGGGTGACAGAGTCAGCTACACTGGGCGGCACTTTCACCGGATTGTGGTCATAGGAAAAGAGCCGCAGCTGTTGCAGGTGGGCCAGGTCTGGGAACTCGATGATTTTGTTGCGGTCGAGGTCGAGGATGTGGAGCTGGGACATGCGGAGCAAAGGTGGTGGGAACTCCTCAAAGCGATTCCCATAGAGCCACAGGCCCCGGAGGCCAGACATCCGCGGCAGGCCGCTGGGCAGGGTTTTGAGCCTGTTGTCGCCCATCTGCAGGGACTGCAGTGCTGGCATCTGGAGCAGGGCCCGGGGGAAATGGTACAGATAGTTGCTCTCGATCCACAGGCAGCGCAGAGTCTGCAGCTGGGCAAACTCTGCTGGCAGCCCGAAGAGGCGGTTGCTGCCCAGGTAGAGGCGGGTGAGCCGAGGCAGGCGGCATAGCCCCTCGGGCACCTCCTCCAGCTTGTTGAAGTCCAGGGCCAGGATGCGCAGCTCCCGCAGCTCCTCGATCTCCTCGGGCAGCTCGCGCAGCCCCGTGCCGCTGATGTACAGCTTCTGCAGGCTGACCAGGGAGCACACGGGGCCTGGCAGCTGTTTCAGGTGCCGCCCGCTCAGCTCCAGCATCTGGTCCCCGCCTTTCAGCTGCTCCTCGGCCGCGGAGGGCAGCCGCTCCTCCCTGCCCGCCGACCCCGCGCTGCCCATCCTCATGGCCCGGCGCTGCGCGGGCCGCCCCCGCC